AAAAAAAAAAAAAAAAAAAAAAAAAAAAAAAAAAAAAAAAAACCTACCTGTTCAGAAAGTAGCCAAGGTTAGCGGTTGACGCAAAGTAAGTAGTCACTAGGCTTATGGAAAAGTGAGAGACCGTCTGGCGTTCATTTTCATTAGATCCACTTGTATAGTATATGGCACAGGCAAGGCCTACAGGTACTGTATGTCTGCAGTGTCCAAATATGCGAGATAGCATTCTCAGTCTGGTAGCATTTTATGTGCTATCACACCTTATATAACCCCACCCCGCCAGCAGCAAGTTTTTTATTTATTTATTTATTTATTTATTTATTTTTCAGAATAGGGTATGGGGAAGAAAACGCTTACTATATCAGAACCATAAAGATATATCAATGTATCATATATCGTTTTGAACGCAAGGGATGAGGCATTAAATTTTATAAATCAAAGATGCGTGACAATAAGTCAGGGGTCATTCATAATGGATCAGAGGTCACAACAGTTTACATTTGGTTTTCTCAAAAATTAGAATCAAAAAAGTTTTTTAAAAAACATTGTTTAAATAAATATTTTTTGGTATTTGGTGAATGGTTTGGGACCATGCTCTAATATAAAGCTTATGAAGAAAATCTGGAACCTCAAGTATCTTATTTCAGAATATTATGCAATTATACGTGAACCCAACTGTCAAAATATCCCCTATTTGAAAGTGGGGGTAGGGAAAGAAAGTGGTTACTACATCAATATATAGAAATATATATCAATGGATTACATATAATAAAAGATGTAAGGGATAGGACAATCAATTCTGTTGGTCACAAATACATGACAATTAGTCAAGGGTCATTGACAATGGTGCAAATGTCAGAAGAGGTCATATGTCATGTATTTTTCATAAATTTGAGCCAACAACTGTTATCAAAATATTGCGTAAGAAATTAGAATTTGGTGAATGGATCATCAACACGTTATGGTGTTATGCTTTTGAATAAAACTACGAGCCTCAAGCATTTTTATTTTTTTTTGGGGGGGAATGAGTTTACTCATGGAATGTGAAAATATTAGTCAAAATACGCCCTCTTGAATTTGGATTAGGGGAAAGAAACTGCTCATAATTGAAAGACAGATGAAGATACAGCAACACAATTAATATTTTCTGCGTTTCGTTAGTATAGCGGAAAATCATTGCATTCACGTTTTGTGATGAAAAAGAAGGTACCTGGAGATGTTTGGGTGGATGACATAATGAGGTACAGTTATGAGTAATAGTTCAATGTACGTGCAATGAAGATTGGCGTGGGTGGTATAAAAGGGAGGATAGAGGTAATAGTGGTGACTTTCTAGCCTGCTTGCAGAAGGGCGGGATTATTTTTCCCTAAAATATTACATTAAATAATATTAAATTCAATTATGCCCAGTTTTATTTATTTATTTATTTATTTATTTATTTATTTATTTATTTATTTATTTATTTATTTATTTTGTCCCAGGAACTCCGTGGGTTTCATCTCTGTTTTTCCTCTGGGCTGGATGAAAACTGTTATAGTATATATACATAGAGGTATAGTAGTTACGGTAAAATGGTAAATACAGTTTATTTGATTAATAAAGAATCAGCGTCTAGCAACATCAGCGGGCTGTCGGCAGAATGTAATTTTGCGTTCGATTTAATTTTGAAGAAAATATAGTGTATACTGCAAACTTCTATGCAGTTTTACGATATATCAATAGGTTTCATAATTCAGACACCTGTAAACAGAGTCATGCCTCATTTGAAATAGGTCAAATTGTCAGCCAAGGTCAAATTTAAAGCTTTCTTGTGAATATGAACCTTTTTCAGAATTTATTATTTATTTTATCATTTCTTTTATTTCTTTCTTTCTTTCTTTCTTTCCTTTTGTTTTTGCATATCAGTGGGGTCTTTCTGTAAAATGGAGTATTGGAGAAAGATAATCCTGTATCCTATATTGTAATTTGTAAGATTAAATACTGGTTATATTTTGCAAGTAAACCAATTACCCCTATCTTTTTTTTACATCTTTGTTACTACTTAATGTATAATTTTTGATTTATGGGTCAATAACACGAGGCTAGATATCACATTCAGTCACTCTTTTCCCCCAAAAGCCTATATTGTTTATTCTGATTCAGTAATCAAGGAAAAAGGGATTGTTCTTAACACTGACATGCAGGAACATAACTTTACTTAATTATTTTGTTGTACTTTTTATTCTGTATCATTTTGACACTGTACATTGAAAATGACAAATATTCAATCTGCTTCAATATAATATCAGGAGGAGATAAAGGTAAAACAAATGCAGACCTGAAAAGTGCAACCGAGCTTTAGAGAAGAATTTTAACAAACATCTACTTTATAACATACATGCACCCTTATTGAAAAATGTTGTGACTGGAAACTATAGTTTTCATTTTCATTTTTAGTGACTGTGAACGGTTGTGTTTATAGAAAGTATTGTGTGATATGAAATAATTTATAAATATATTAATATTTAATAAAAAATATTTATGTTTTTTTTTACATTTTCCAAATTCATGTTATTTCCAAAGGTTATATGGAAATTGGTGTACACGTAAATTAGATCAATTTAGTTAATATTCAAATTTATTTTATTTTTATGATAATTTACTTTCATAAGTCAATGTGGTGGACATAGGTAATTTTTAAGTTTAAAATATACACTGAAGGCTTAAATACCAGGCATTATGATTGAATAAGAGTCTAAATATGGTTTGGGGTTCAAGAAGAGGTACAAAATAATAGGAAAGAAGGCACACTATTTGTCAGTAAGCATCCTGACCCATGATATCCTGGATTTATCCATAGGACGATCAAGAAAACCTAGGACCTAATGACCCCCTGCACACACGCACACACACACGCTCATGTACACATACATGTTCTCACTCAGTAGATTCAGCCCTTGTCCTTTACAAGAAGGCAGAAATGTGGCCCACGACCTAAAGATTGAGATAGGCTTCTTAGCAAATATAACCACATCCTTTGACTTAAGACAAATTTGAATATTTTAATGTATTTTGTCATTTTTATCAGTTATTGGGTTGAACATTGGATACTATAAATAAGTGATATTGATACTTTAATCTCTTCCATACTGAATTAAAATACATTCACTATTTCACTTTTTATACTGTAACCAATGTTTCGGTATTCTAATTCTGTCAATTAAGGTTTATATATAAGAAATGGAAAAATAATGTGGAAAACAATCTACTGGTGGCAGTAGAAGTTGTTGGTTGCATTCATGGTTATTTCCACCTTTCGTCCAAAACTCCTTGTGAAACTACCTTACATACATTACTTCGGGTAACAGATACGTCGTCAGTGTTCAGTGACTAAGTTAATTAACATATACGTATGTGTCTTCTAACGGATAACGTCTTAATCGCAATGTTGGCTTAAAAACTGAAAATCAGTTTGTTAAAATTTAACATTTAATGTCTATTTTGCCTGAGCACTCACAGTCACCATTTCAAAACCGATTTAATGACATCATTTAGTACTCCAAAAACCCAGCGATTTTTTTTTTTTCTTTAAAAAAGTATTAGTTAGTTTTAATCGATGATAAAGCAAATTAATGCCTTTGTTTAATGAAAATCTGTAATTAGGAGCTCATAAACCCATAATAAAACATTCAAACCAAAATGACGGCACGGGATTGTAGCCACACACTCTAGACAGCTCTGCCAATTTGGGTGATGAAATACTTTCTCAGGGATGCAGTCTCACTCCGTAACAATTGTTATCTTGCCTTTAAACACAAAGGTGTTAAATTGACGAGAGTTGCTTATGCTTATACATTGCAAAAAGGAATATAAACGCCGATATTTTATATTTTCGAGTTTCTAATTGTTTTAAATCAACAAAAAGATAGATGCATTTTTGAATAATAAGATGCAGGAAATCCTCCATTTCGGTATCTGGATGATAATAAAGAATTACAATACCCTTAAGAGACTAGTCTTTAAAATTTTCAATAAAATAAGATATAATTTGATATTTTATTTCAAATACA